TATAATGTTGGTTTGCCTCGTTTTCGCAAATTGGTCGGAGTGACGGACAAACCGTGTATAAAGTACCTAGCACTGCGACCTCTGCCATAGCATTCACGATAATTGGTGGCAGCATTAACGAGAGGCGCCATTCTTAGCACAGAGTTGCAGCTTATCACTTTGAAAAGTAGTAACTCTGCGCTCAGGATTGCGCTTCTCACTGTCAATGCCGACTACAATGCTGGCGAAACGTCTGAGAATGCATAAAGCCAACGTTCCGATGCTGGAAATCCTCATGAATACTCTGAAGCAGAGAGCGGGACCAAGTACGCTATACAAGGTTTGTCTGCCACTCCAACCAATTTGAAAAAACTAGGGAAATCCAACACTATACAGCAAAAGAAGACTGCGACCAAACCTAGTGCAGGGCCATCTTTGTCTTTCTATCCGCGATAGTAAATAATATAGTCTTGAGTAAAATGCACAAAAGCATGTAAGATAATTTTAAGACATTAGTATATATCAATATTTTTCTGGGTCTTTTTACCTGGCATATTCTGCACGGAGGAGATTAGATAACCCGCAAATAGAGACCTCCGAGAAGCCCAGTACACATCTCCGGCATAAGTAACGTCTGAATCTTCCTCACCCGCATCGTAATCAACAATGGTAACTGGCCTTGGGGCGCAAGTAATGAACATGTGCAATATTTCGGCCAAGCAGAGTACATCGTATTCCAATAGCCTCTCCAGACATATTTTGCATTTGTCAAGCGCACTACTTATGGGCATGGAAAGTAGCACGTTTAAATTGAATAAAACACACGTCTTCAGATAATGTATTTCACCTATGAGACAGTAAATGTTATTAACCAATATGCATTACCCGCTTGTACCATTTGGCAGCACGCTTCTAGGGCCCATCTTTCCAAATTTGCTTGAGATGACCAGGTATAAATGTTCTTTAGCTAAAGTAGTACAAATAAAAATAAATGACAAGAACATGAATATGATATTTTTGAACTGGTGTCCGCCACCTTAATCATTTGTTAGAGCACATTGAAATATTTGCTTAAGATTCCCTTCATCATATATTAACTTATTCAGTACTATTTTGTCTTTCTGTTTGTATAAAAAGATTGCTTAGAAAACGAATCTATGACAAGCCTACATAACATCCTTGGACCTTTATATAGCACCTACTACTAAATTTGTTAGGCCTATAAAATAAAAGGCTTGGATAACTCTGAAAAATTGTCTCTGAAACTCGCTTTGTTGCTTACACTGTTTAGATATTTTTTTGCTGACTCATACTCCTCCACCGAATGACTCCTCCATCCCATCGTATCCATCACGAAATTTATA